GTTTTTAAGATGAAGATTCCCCTGCCAAGATTTCAAATGTTAAAGCTCATTTGACCCTGCCTCTTCATTTTGCGGGTGGAGTAACAGACCCAAAGAGAGGAAGGATTTATCTAAGGCCCCTTCCAAGGTGATTGTTCCTGCAGAAAGGACACTGTTGCATGTCCTGAGTGTGCCTGATCCTGTTTTAGGCAGCTGGTGATGATCCAGAGGCAGCACCCACAGTGATTCTCAGCCTTGCTGGGTAGGATGCTTTATGTCACTTTGAGAAAGGAGGCTGTGGTTGTCTTGCAACCACTGGGGCCCTTGAATACTTGTACCCTCCCTTGTCTTCCCACTGCCTTATTCTGGGAAAATACTTGATAAAATGTTAAAACCTCGATCCTAATGACATCAACTAAAATTTCACCTTATTTTGTACCCCTCCTTCACCACCTTACTTTGAAACAGTAGAGACTGTAGAGAGAGTAGAAAGAACAATAAGAAACTATATCCCCAGTTCAGGATTTGAGAGATGACTGAATACTGTTTCTTGATCATGATTGTGAGGTGTGGCTGGAGGAGTGAGGAGGGCCACCCATTTAATAATAGTCACCACTATTGGTCAAATACAACACACGTGCTTTTATATAGTTGCATTTATTCTCCACAATAGCCCTGTATGGTAGTTTCCAGGAATTAGGAAACTTGCCCAGGGTCATTTGGCTGGATGAAGCTGGATTATATAAGCATTATATACTCATTATAGGAAATATAGATACCATACATAAAAGAGGTAAGTGATGGGGATTTGCTGTATAGCATAGGGGATTATGGGACTTCCCAGGTGGCACTAGTGGTAAAGAACCCACCTGCCAGTGCAGGAGACATAAGAGACATGGGTTTGATCCCCTGGAGGAGGGCATGGCAACCCACTCCAGTTTTCTTGCCTGGAGAATCCCATGGACAGAGGAGCCTGGTGGCTACAGCCCATAAGGTCACAAAGAGTCGGACACGACTGAAGCAACTTAGCACAGCACAGCACATGGGAAATTATATTCAATATCTTGTAATAACCTGTAATGGAATATAATCTAAGAAAATAAAATCCCCGAATCACTTTGCTATATACCTGAAACTAACAACATTGTAAATCAACTATACTTCAATTGAAAAAGAAAATAAAGAGAAGAAAATATATTCTCGTGCTCATGCTCAGTTGCTCAGTCGTGTCCAAGTCTTCGCAACATGGTGGACTGTAGTGCGCCAGGCTCCTCTGTCCATTGGATTTCTCAGACAAGAATACTGGAATGGGTTGCCTGGCCTGTGGCCCACTGTCCAACGATAACCCAGGCTGCTTCCGTCCCGTAGTCTTTTCACTGTGCCGCCCCGTCTGCTTTCAATTCTTGCTTTTGTCCTGAGCCTTTTTGCTTCTCTTTCTTTCCCAGAAAGCCTACAGCCACTGCTTCTGCCCCATCTTTTCTTGCCCCCAGCTCTAAAGTCCTGGACAGCTAACATGACCTGGGTGGTGCTGCCAAGAGTGATGACAGGGTCTGGGGCCTTCCGTGCTATCAGACCTCACAGCCCTGCCCTTCCCCTATTTATTTCCACCCTAGCACTTTTGAACTTGTACCCTTAAGAACTCTTTTAATAAAAGAGCACATTTACTCCTCTGTTAAAATGCGCCCCTAAGGGATGTCCTCTACCCAGGTCTTTGTTTGGGACGTTGCTGATACTCCATCACACAAATCCATTTCTTTCAGGTCATCACAAGTCAAGTGGAAATGACAACTTTCAAACCTTTTACAAGTGACATCAAAATTATTTTCTGTTCCATTGAAGCTTGTTTTATGTGACATGAAGATGAGGTGTAATTTTATTTTTGTATTTATTTTTATTATACAATGAAAGCACATTTATTATAAAAAAAAGAAGAAAGTATAATCCAAGTGCCCATAAATCCATGATCCCCAGAGGTAACCTGTTAACACCATGATGTCTTTTCTTCCAGACTACTTTTCTGTGTTTATATTTATTAACACATATGTGTTTTATAGGACTTCCCCAGTAGCTTAGCAGTAAAGATTCCACCTGCAATACAGGAAAGGCAGGAGATGCGGGTTTGTTACCTGGAATGGGAAGATCCCCTGGAGGAGAAAATGGCAACCCACTCCAGGATTTTTTTTTTTTTTTTTCAGGATTCTTTGCTAAAAAATTCCGTGGACAGAGGAGCCTGCTGGGTTACTGTCCATGGGGTTGTGGAGTCTGTCAGACACAACTGAGTGACTGAGTACAGTACATGTGTATTATAACATGAAATCATGCTGTCATTTTTTTTTTCTTCGTTTTTTTGGCCTCGCCACATGGCTTGTAGGATCTTAGTTTCCCTGTGCTTAGTTGTGTCTGATTCTTTGTGACCCCGTGGACTGTAGCCCACCAGGCTCCTCTGTCCTTGGGGATTCTCCAGGCAAGAATACTGGAGTGGGTTTCCATGCCCTCCTCCAGGGGATCTTCCCAACCAGGGATCAAATCCAGGTCTTCCGTATTACAGGCAGATTCTTTACCCTCTGAGCCACCAGGGAAGCCCCAAAGTGAAAGTCTCTCTGTTGTGTCCAACTCTTTGTGACCCAGGACAGAATTCTCCAGGCCAGAATACTGCAGTGGGTAGCTGTTCCCTTCTCCAGGGGATCTTCCCAACCCAGGGATCGAGCCCAGGTCTTCTGCACTGCAGGGGGATTCTTTACCAGCTGAGCCACCAGGGAAGCCCAAGAATACTGGACTGGGTAGCCATTCCCTTCTCCAGTGGATCTTCCTGACCCAGGAATGAAACTGGTGTCTTATGCATTGCAGGAAGATTTTTTACCAACTGATCTACCAGGGAAGTTCCCCTACCAGGGATTGAACCCAGGCCCACTGCAGTGAAAGCCCCTAACAACTGTATCGTTAGGAAATTCCCCATGCTGTCTTATAATTAGCTATTTTCACTCAAAAGTGTCTTGTGAGCATCTTTTCATGTCAATAAATATACCTTAACCACATGTCTCTGAGGAAAGTAGTGTCCAGTTACCAAGGCAAAATGCCGCTTTGATTCTCAGGGCTTCTGTTTGGGCAGGGCAGGGCAGGTGAAGTTGGAGACTCATCCACTGTGTCTCAGGAGGGAGCCCAGAGTGAGAGTGCTGCTGGCAGTTAAGGTAGCATCGGCTTCCAGACCTGTTTTTATTTTTTGAGACTTATTTGTTTATTTTAGTTTTTGGTTTTTGTGGTGGGTCTTTGTTGCTGCACATGGACTTTCTCTGTTTGCAGCAAGAGGGAGCAACTCTCTAGTGGTGCACACAGTCCTCATTGTGGCAGCTTCTCTTGTGTGGAGCGCAGGTTCTAGGCACTCGGTCTTTAGTAGTTGTGGTGTGTAGGCTAGTAGTTGTGGCGCATGGCCTTAGTTGCTTCAAGGCATGTGGGATCCTCCAGTACCAGGGATTGAACCCATGTCCCTTGCATTGCAAGGCAGATTTCTAACCACTGGACCACCAGGGAAGCCCCTGGACCTGTTTTTGTTTTGTTTTAACTTTTTATTTTGTAGTGGGGTAGAGCTGATTAACAAGGTTATGATGGTTTCAGGTAAACAGCAAAGGGACTCAGCCATGCATATGCTTGAAGAAGAATGGCAATAAGAATAGAACCCAACCTGTTTTTTAATTCTCTCTTTTCCAACAAGGAAACTTTTCATGTTGCTTCTATTTCTGACCCATACATGCTTCCCCCAGTGAAGCATCTTGCCAGCTAAGATTTAAACACAAAAATCAAGCAAAGTTGTTCTTCCCTAAGTTTCTTTTTTCAAGTCTTGGTGTTACTTGAAGTGGCTCTCATGGTGTATTCAGAAGAGTAATAAGGTGAGAGACTTAATTCCCAATATAGCTGCTAATCCTGTTTAATTCCCCAGAGTCTTTCAGTCCTAGGTGGTTTGTCCTTTCTTAGTTGAAAGACTGGTGAGTCACAGACTGCAGGAATGGAGGGCAAGAAGGTATTGAAGTTTGTGCTTTGTTGGAAAGGTGCTGCTGCTTACTTTATTTGGGAGTGCTTTCAAAGTCTGGGACATTGAATTTTACTTCACCAAGCATGTCTCCTCTAATTATTACAGAATAACATGGACAATTTCCAGATTGTTTTCAATGTCTTATATGTATGAATTAATTGCAGTTTGACCCAGGTGAAAGAGAGCTGTCTTAGATATATGTCTTTCCATCAAGAGAGGGAGGTAGCAGTGGTGTTTCATATGAAGCCTGGCTATTTTGCAACCAAAAAGTCTGGAAAATAGTGAATTGTCTAACAGAATTTGTACATGACTAACATGTAGAGAAGAACAGCGGCGGGGGTGGGGGGGGGCGGGGAAGGATTCAGTTATTGAGTAAAAGTAAAATTTTTTCATGTAAATTATGTTACACATGATGATATATCACTTATGCAAATACATGTAAAAGTCTGGTGGTTGCTTTAAATTTCCACAAATAGTTTCAATTCTTTATGCTACTATCCGCAGTTATTGGTATTGTGTAGTGTAAGCTATACCGCATCTTTGTCTCATTTAAAAGAAAAAAACTCAGCAGTATTCACCACGTAATTTTGTGGCATGTAATAATTAAATTTTATTAGTATATATTTACAGGATTTAAAGTAACTGGTAATTTGCTTTTTCTTTCTGTTTTCCTTATTAATCTCTGGGTAAAAAATCCCTTGTCTCCAATGTAACTATCATTAGATCTGGGCTCTCCTTTCTTCTCATTTTGTCCTTATAAGGCTATCCTGTTTTATCACTTCCTGCTTCAGCTCCTGACTTTTTCTGTCTTCCCCTCTCCCTCTCCTGGGGTGGATGCTTTCTACATGTGGCAGGGCTGTAACTGTTCACAGCTGTCCGAGACGCCAGTGGAGCAGGAGCAGCTTGGAGTTTTAACTTTCATTTTACAAAGAACAACATGTTTGAAGGTTTCAGCAGGCAAGTTGTAACTGGAATTCACTTTTCGTTCTTTTAGAACACTGAAAATCTCCCCCAGCACTTTAGAAGGGGGAACCTGACTGCATTAAGGAAGAAGTGGGAGAATCCAGTGCCGGGAGCCGACTCTCTCCCAGACTCAGTGCGAAACAGCAGCGCAGAGGGCAGGCACAGAGACGACCCTTCTCCCGCTGAAGTGGTGGGCAGCTCTGCCTCTGGGGTCCAGGCTGACCAAGAGGAGCGAGTCCAACTCAGACCTAAGATCAGATCGCCTCCTGAAGCTCCTACTAAGTACCTGCACCCCCACATCAAGGACAGAGAGCATCTTAAAGACCCCTCAACAGAAAATAAAAAGATGGAAAATTGTCTGGGAGAATCCAGACATGAAGTAGCAAAACCCGAAATGAGTGAAAACGCAGAAACTGCAAACAAAATAGAGAAATACAATGTTCCGCTGAACAGGCTGAAGATGATGTTTGAGAAAGGTGAACCAACTCAAACCAAGGTAAGGATCGGGTGGGTCTAAAACTTGAAAAAAAGCCAATTCAAGTAACTAAACAAAGCTTTTTTTCTAGTCTAGACTTTGAGTGGTGGCGAGTACGCGATCAGTATGTCTTTTGATTCAAGTTAGACGAGTAGTTAATAAAAAGTCTCAGATGAATTATTTACAGAAATGCTAAGATTTGTCGGTCTGTGACCCAGTTTCACATGAAATTAAGTGCACACTGGGATTCAGGTCGATAACCTAGAAAGGAGGAGAGTTTGATGCCGTCTGGGTTCTGTGTTTTCCTATGCTTGCCCTTTTAATTTGTCTTCCTGTGCCTTTTGTCATTTGTAGCTTTGGGGGGTGGAATTACTGCTGAATCTTTCTCTCTGCCTGGACACAGCTGCAGGCTGAGTGTTAAGGCCAGAGTTTAACATTAAGACTGAGGCTTAGTTGTCTTCTTGCTAGCTGAATCCTTTCTCTTCTTAACTTCCTCATCTGTGCCTTCCAGCAAATGTTTTCTATCAGCTAAAATCCTATCCCAGGAAAAATCAATGAAAATAGCCAGACTAGCTGTAGCCTTCAGGAGTTTTGACTTGCAAATGCACAGGGTTGCATTTTCCTACAACTGCTAAAGAAATTTGATCCTTAGTGTGGAGTGCAGACCAGGTCCCCAGAGGGAATTACTTAACTAGAAAATGAGTTACATATGCTGGTGACTTATAACACAATCCAGGGGCCGCAGAGCTGGTCAGTTTTTCCAGTTTTCTCATACTTTCCTGCATATCTGGCTTTGTACATGGGGTTCATTTGTTACAACAGTCATAATGAAATAAACAGATCTGATGGGGAGCAAAGCCATCATTTACTCTAGATCACATCTAGATGGGAAAGTGGACTTTTTTTTTCCAGCTAAATATTTGGTCCAAATGTCTACATTTGTGAAGTAATGATAGGAAGTGTTTCTTCTGAGGCAAAAATTAGATAACTCATCCTAGAATTCCTCAGTTATGTTTGATGCGATTTAGCCATCCCTTCTTGTATCTTGCAGTGCCTGTCACTTTTCTACTTAGGAAAGTTCTTTAGTGTTCGGCGATCATCAGTTGAGGATGTAAAAAGAATTTTTAAAGGTTTGCAAAACTAAAACCCTTTTCTCTTCATGAATTTTAACTCTGTTTTAACACAAACCAGTTGGCAAGAGATGTAACCACAAAACAGTCTTATGACTTTTCTTAAACTCTCTTCCCTCTCAATTTTGAGTCCTCTAGGCCTGCCAACACCCCTTTTCCCCTTTATGGTCTTAATTTTGAAAAAAATTTTTTTTTTAAATTTAAATGGGAAGAAGAATTTTAAATGGAAGGAAAAAACGTCAGAAATCCAAAATAGAGAGGAAGGGGCTTTGTTGTGTGTCAAAGCACCATTGTAAGTCGTCCCCTCTCAGACCCTGTTAGGGGCAGGACGGCTGATGTCATGGCAGCATGCACAATGTTGATTCAGTGCAGAAGGCTAGTACATGTCAAAACTGGCCTACGGTTGGAAATGACTGGGACTGCAGCAAACAAAATGCTGATTATGTGTAAAGATCTGGTAAGAGACTTTTTTCTCATAAATGTCTGGTGAAAGATGGGTTAGAACAAGCCTATCTTTTTGTGGCTGGTCAGAGTGGAGAAAAAAAATTCTCATATAAAGGAAGATCCTACTAGATCAGGCTGGCATTCAGCCTGATTGCTATTGGGTCTAGGAAGATGGAGGGGCTCTAAGACTGACCAGACCTTTTGAAGGGGAGTTTTTTAAACTTCCTGTTTAAATAGTCATTTGTCCTTTAATGGACTGCTTAGGGAGTGTAAAACACAACTGCCATTGTTTTTGTTTTCTATTTTTTGGCCACGCCCGAGTGGGTTATGGGATCTTAGCTCTCCAACTGGGATCAAACCTGTGGTCCCTGTAGTGGAAGTGTAATGTCTTAACCACTGGACCACCAGGGATGTCCCTGCCCTTAGTTTTATAGCTGCTTCTAAGTAAGCATTATTACCCATGTTAGCAACAGCCTAGATTACTTTAAAAATATTTGTCTAATATTTCAATAAAACTGGTATTAAAAAAAAAGTTTTGTCTACTTTAGATTATGGAATGATTAATCAGTTTGAAACTACGTTATGGTTATTGCTAACATAATTTCAGCTTTAGTATGGATACGGTTTTAATCAGGAAGTCACATAATTGGATCTTTGGAAGAAAGCTCTGAGAAATATGGTAGAGACACTAAGCAATCTTTTCTGGAGCAAGAGTGAAGAAGTAAGAATGATTACCTCAGAGCTAAAAATTGTCTCTGAGACAAGTGACTATATTAGGTACAAATCATGTGAATCTTTGTCTCCATAATTGAATTTAGAGAACTGGACTGAATCTCAGCTAACTAGTCGAGCAGGGTCAGGGAGCACATAGATAATGGAAATGCATGATCCAAATCTCTTTATCTCCTAAATCTTTTTTTAATCAGTTATTTACAGGAGGCCAAGTTAATTGCCTGAGTTCCACATTTCTTAGTCCCTCTTGCTCCCGTTTATCTGAGATGGTTCCTATCCACTTTTCTGCCTGATCTCTTCTCTGCAGTCCTTCTTTATTTCTCTGTCCCTTGTGTAGTCTTCTCTCCAGGACTCCAAAAGATGGATTCCAAAACTAGATTCTCATCTTGAATTCTTAACCCAAGCTTCAGCTCCAATTTTGTGGTGGCCTGCCAGATTGCACACCTCTTTGTGAATAAAACTAAAGCACTCAATTTCAAGAAAACTAAAAAAGAATCCATTATCTTTCCAACCAAAACCTGCTCTAACCCCTATTGTCCTCTCTTAGTGCATCACCATTCACCACATTTCCTGTTCTGTAAAGTTTGGGATCAGTTCTTTTTGCCTGCCTCTTCTCAGCCAGTCATTTACTAAGCCATCTAAATAGGTCTACACATCTCTCAATATGGGCCATTCTCTCCAAGAGGTCCCACACCTAGTTCTATGGTTTAGCCTTATCATATCTTGCCTTGTGGTATTGCTGCAAACTTGCCTATTGACCTCTCATTTTTTTCTTTCCTTTCATCCTCCACACTGTTGCTATTTATTTTTCTAAGCATAGTTGTAAATTATGCTATTCCCTTGATCAGAAACTTTTGATGTCTCCAAATAAATCCATATTTAATATTTGGGTCTTCCACAGTCTGATCTAAACCCACCTTTCCAATCTCCTAGCTAACCTCAGTTGGTAAAGAATCTGCCTACAACGCAGGAGACCCAGGTTCGATCCCTGTATCAGGAATGTCTGCTGGAGAAGGGAATGGCAATCCATTTCAGTATTCTTGCCTGGAGAATTACAAGGACAGAGGAGCCTGGCAGGCTATTGTCCAAGGAGTCACAAAGAGTCGGACATGACTGAGCAACTAACACACACACGTACAGCTAACCTAATACTCAAACCCTGGATTACTCCTCATTTTAAACTAGTCATGTCTTTCCCCTAATTTCTACCTTTGGAAATCTTACTCATCAAGGTCTATTAATACTATGAGACCTTACCTCAGTTTTTTCCCATATGAAATTACCTTCACCCTCCTGACCGTCTTGTAGAATTTCTTTTTACTTCTCTTTGGCCATTTTTATCATGCTTCTTTAATAATCTGTTTGAATTTGTATACTTCCCAGTCTATGGGGTCTCACAGAGTAGGACACAATTGATGTGACTTAGCAGCAGCAGCAGCAGTCTATATAATTCTTTCAAAGTAATGTTGCCTTTATCTTCCAGTGGTCAACCCAATGCTTGACTCTTAGTGTTTATTTAATAAAAAGAAAAGAAGCTTAGATCTCAACTTATAAATAATGACAACTGATCACTTTTCCTCTACTTTTAGTGGATAGGTTAAGTCAGGTGGTTTAGTTGAACATGATAGTTCTAATTCCTACTGCAAATGAGCAGTGGATGGATTAGTGTAACCTATCAGTATGAGGAAAGAGAAGCCCTCCCTAATGGCATACATTAAGTGTGGCTTAGCATCTTTAACTGCATGTATATGTTGATCTGGGTTTTAGGTAGCCTTTTATGAAAAAGCTGATCAAGCAGTTATTCAGTTATCATCATGTTGACATTTGAATCCATAATCTTCAAAGGTCACGATGCAGTTATTCAAATGACCAAACAATGTAAGGAGCATGTGACAGACTCCTTAAGTCTCACTTCTAGTTGCTTCCTAACTTATTTGTTTCACACAAATCCTTGGATAGGAGAATAAAGACCAAATAACTGGAAGGTATATTTCTACCTTCATAACCTAATTATAATACTATCTTTTGCTTGGGTCAAGATTAAAACAATTAGTTGTGATGCAAGAAAATAAGGCTTGAATATGGACATTTCTTGATTCTTCTACACAAGTTCTGACTACTGCTTCTTCCTTGCAGTGTTTCCCTCTTCTCGGAGAGGAGTTAGGTAAAGAAAAGAAGAGAAAAAAAGAGAATGCCTCCTCACCAAAAATCTCTATTTTCTAGAACACATAAACATATTTACACATTCACTCTTTGAGGGCTAACCAAGGATAGGAGGTAGTAATGAGAAAATAATGGTGGGGAAATCCCTGGTGGTCCAGTGGTTAAGATTCCATGCTTCCACTGCAGGGGGCTGGGGTTCAATCCCTAGTTGGAGAGCCCACATGCTGCACAGCAGCCCCCCCCCACAAAAAAAAAGAGAGAGAAAGTGATGATAAGTAAAATTAAATCATTAGGGCAAAAATTGTTCTCTTATCCTTTTTCCCCTGTTATTCATGGTATACTTTAATGCTTTCAGTTAATTACTTATATTGTTTTATAGTACAAAGACGAAACAGCTACAATAGAAATATCGCAATAAATGGAAGTTTCCCATGTCCCATAAACCTTGTCACTACTCTGCTGTTTTTCTCCTTAGACTCCTAAGCTCTTCAACTTCCCTTATAATTTCTGCCCTTCTAATTACCAGGATTATTCTGTGTGTGGCTGGCATCA